ATTTTTTTCCTAATTTCTGAAGGATAGCTTTACTGGGTATAGTATGCTTGGCTGGCAGTTTTTCTTTTAGTAATTTGAATATATCATCCCATTTTCTTTTGGCCTGTAGAGTTTCTGTTGAGAACCCTGCTGATAGTTGCATAGGGACTCCCTTATAGGTGACTTGATGCTCTTCTCTTGCTTCTTTTAAGATTCTCTCTGTCTTTGAGCTTTGCCAGTTTTACTTTAATGTGTCTTGGAGGATCTTTTGGGGTTCAGTCTGTTTGGGGAGCTTTGAGACTCCTGGATCTGAAGGTCTCCCTGTATCTGGGAAGTTTTTTGTTACTATTTCGTTGAATAGGTTTTCTATGCCTTTTCCTTTCTCCTCCCCTTCTGGAACACCCATGATTTGAATGTTTGTGTGCTTAAGGTTGTCTGCTAGCTCTCCTAGATTTTCTTCATTTAAAAAAATTTTTTTTCCTGCCTGGGTTATTTTGAAAAGACTGTCTTCAAGATCAGAAATTCTTTCCTCTGCTTGTTCTAGCCTGCTGCTTAAGCTCTTCTTGTTTTTTTGTTTTTTTTTTTTTATTTTATTGAGTGAATCTTTCAGTTCCATTAGTTCTGCTACATTCTTTTATAAGGTATCAGTCTCTTTGTAAATTTCCTCCTTCATCTCCTGGATTTTTTTTTCCCCTCACTTTATTATGTTGTCTGAGTCTTCTCATATCTCAGTGAGTTTCCTTTAAGATTTTTGCTCAGAATTCCTTTTCAGTCATTTCAAGGGTCTCCTCCTTTATAGGGTCTAGAATTTGAGAATTATTATATTCTTTTGGTGATGTCATATTTTCTTGTTTATTTGTATTTGTAGTATCTCTGCATTGATGTCTGATCATCTGGTAGAGCAGTTGCTTCTGTTACTCTGGAGTGGGCTTTTAGGAGAGAGATGTCCTCATTTTCTGCTTCTGGTGACTCTCATTGTGTCAGTGCAGTCAAGAGTCCAGCAGCCACCTGCACAGGGACCGTGGCTGTAGCGTTGAGCCTCTTTTTTGGCAGCCATGACTGTGGTGGTGGCTTTGGTGGGCCACCCATGTGGAAGTGGTGTTTTCAGTGTGTTCTGTTGCCTACTTCTGGGTAGAGAGGGCTGCAGCCCACAGCTTTTTGCCTAGGATCCTGAGTGTGCTCTCTAGTCTGCTTCTGTGTGGCTATTGTTAGATTTTTAATTGTATGCTTATTTCTTGGATGTGAAATAACGTATGTTTTAATTTCCATGCTTGGATTACTAGCGATGTTGAGCATCTTTTTATATTTTTATTAGCCTTTTGGGTTTCCTCTTCTCCAAACTTGCCATTCATATGTTTCTTGCCCATTTTTCTTTCTTTATCGTTTTTTGTACATGTTTTTTATATTGTTTTATAATTCTTTTCCAATTATTATGCTTTTTGATTATTTTCTTCCATTCCTTGGCTTTTTTTGTTTTGTGTTTTGTTTTCGTGCCTGGCTGCTACAGGGATTGAACCTTGTACCTTGGTGTTATCAGCACCATGCTCTGACCAACTGAACTAACTGGCCAGCCCCTGTTGCTTGGCTCTTTTCAACTTACTTGTTTTTTGGTTGGGCTGAAATTTTAAATATAACATAGTCAGGTAAGACCCTGTGTCTCAAATATAAGACAAGGTTTGTTTTTTCTCCTCTAAAAACGTATCCCTTGGAAAAGAGGAAGGCTTAATACTGTGTTCTTACAAATTCATTACTTGGGAATGATGCATTAGCCTGTAATTACTTGAGTGGGTGTTGGATTAGGATGTGCTGAAAAGTCACCTGACATAATTGGTTTTAATAAAAGGAGATCGAAAAAAGACAAAAAGGAAAAAAAATAAATAAAAGGAGATTAACAAAATAAAAAAATGATTAAAAAGCAATAAAAAGCAACAAACAACAACAAAAAGAGACTAAGAAATTTAACCACATTTAGTGAATATTCCTGGTGGTATATAAATATTACATATTATATATTAGTGTTTTAAATATATCATTTTCAGCAACTATGGTAAATGGTTAGGTGGGGGAAATCTTGAACATATATGTACAGAATAAATAAAAACAACTGACCTATGTTATACAAATGAGTGTTTCAGCTTAGAATAACTTTTAGTGACAGCATCACAATAAAAAGTGTTGTGGGGTCAGTTTGGATACATGTGAAGGTTGAACTTTTTGGACACCTGTCAGACAACTCAGAAAGTATCTCTGGTGATGAAGAAGCCACGAAGATTGACGATCCCTGTCCAAGTTGAATGCCATTGTTTTCTGACTGGAATCCTTCTCCCATAGATAACTGTGTGCTTCACTTTCACTTTCTCTGGGTCTCTGCTCAGATGTCAATGATACTAGTTATGGAATGGCAGCCCCTGCCTGTCCCTCATCTCCACCCTCCCACTTCCCTGTATCCTACATTACTTTCTGTTTAGTGCTGTTTACCACTTAACATATCAAATATTCACTGTTTTTTTCTTATTGTCTGAGCTCCCTCCCTCCCAGGTGTGCAGACCACTTGGTGGTAACTTCGTCTCTTTTGTTCATGTCCAGAACAGTGCTTGGCACATAGTAGGGGCTCGATTAATTCAAATCAAAAGTGCAAACAGCTGTGTTTCTAAGTTTCCATGGTTTTTAGAATATTGTTTGCATATGTATGTACTAAAACTAATGAATGTAGTCAGTTAGCTATTTCTTCCACATTGCTAAAAGTTTCCATGTTAAAGTTGGCCAGAAAGATTTTTAAATGCGTTTATAATTTCCAAATATTTTGGCGACCTTTATTTTTCCTATTTTCCCCTTTGCGGTCCGAATATGGGATGAAGATAGATTGAATTTGTAGTCTAGTATGTTTTTAGTATATATTGATGTTTCTTAATTACTTAAAAAGAATGTCTCCTTGTCTTGGGTACCCTTTTAGCTCTGGTTTGTTACTATGTAGTTCAAATTTTCTTGATCATTACTAATATTTTTGTTTGCTTAGTCATTCAGCTTCTGAGAAAGGTGAATTTGAAATTTCTCCTATAAGGAGAATTATAAACTTTGTCAATTTCTTCTTAGGTATTCTACAGCTATGTTGGTATGTGTGTTTAGGCTCAGGATTGTTTTATTCTAAGTGAAATGGTTCCTTTTGTCTTAAAGTCTATTTTGTCTGGTGTCAATATTGCCATGTCATCTTTCTTTTCATTACTAATTTCTTGTTATATCTATTTCCATCTCTTTATTTTTGAGTTTTCAACATCAGTTTTATTATAATGTCTCTTAAAAATTCAGCCAAAATTTTTCCATACCCCCCCCTTCCCTTTTGTGACTCCTTTTGGATGGATTAAATTTTCTTTTTTCCTTCTTTTGCATTAGTTTTGAAATTATACATTTTTATTCCCATTTTTGCAAATTGTTTACCCGAGGCAAAAACTAATCAGGACCTCTGTTCTGTTCCCAAACATCACATTAAGCTTTGATCATTTTCATGATCTTTTTTTCTTCTTTATTATCTTTGACTAATATTTTAGTTCCAAATGGTTTTAAAAATCCCAATATTAAAATTCTGTAACAGATTGACTAAGTTGTTACACGTTTTTGCTCACTGTTGAGTCATACATCTGCTTTTCCCTCTATCGTTCTCTTATTTGTATTTAAAATGAACTTATTTTGTAGTTCACTTCAGATTATTTCTATTCTTGGATTATTAATGCCTGTGCTAGTTACTTTTGCTGGATCTTCCTGATTATGTTCCAGTTTTTAAAATAATATTTTAAATTTTTTAATGTGAGCTCACATTTATTGAGGCTGCGTTTTGCAGTAGGGAACACCTCTGGCCTGGTATTTGGAAGTGTCCCTAGAGAGCAAGTTGTAGAAATGCTGGAGTCACTGAAGGCATCATCATTCTACGCGTGGGGCCCCTGTGCTGGTGTGGCCTAGGCCCAGCCTTTCACATTCTTGCAAGTGATCTTTCCATACCCGTCCACCTTGGATAGGTTCTCTGTTATCCCCCCATACATGTGAACAAAGTTCTTCCAGTTCTCTTTTTATTTCCAGAAAGGGCACTCTGAATTTCTCAGCTTTATGCATGGAGTTCAGATTCCATTCCAGCCTTGCTCTGCCCACAAGCTTGAGGTCATGTCTTCCATTCTCAGTAGGGCGTTAAATTTCAACCCACCTGGGGGTGAATCTGAACCCCAGACATTCATGGGCCACCACAAAGGTCACCTCCTGCTTGCCAATCTGTCTTTGATTTCACTTCATTTTATGTTTGGCTAAGGGGAAAAAAATATTGTGTGTGTGTTAAATATCATCCAGCATTTCTACATGTGTTGGTATGAGGGTTCTGTGTACCTTAGTCTCCCAAATTTATAGAAGTCAGCCTGTTGTGGTAGTAGGCACTTGTTTTAAACTTTTGATATGTCTATTTTGATATTTTTAAACATTTTCATTATTTCAGATGTTTGTATTAAATCTGAAAATGCCAAAGTATTCATGATATTTTTGCTGTACATGAACGATTTCTATCATTTACCTCAAGATTGTTAGGCAATGTTTTTCTGTCTTTTTTGGTGGCTGCCCCCAGTATGGGAATCTGAACCCATGATCTTGGTGTTATAAGGCTACGTTCTAATCAACTGACCTAACCAGTCATGGTATGTTTAAAGGGAATTGAGAAGTCAATATTCTAATAGTGAAGGGAGATTTATGTACTTTATAAAATTGTCAATTTCTCTTAAGATCTAATAGTCTCTTCAAAGTAGCATCAGCTAAGATACTGCTTTATTCTATAGTATATTTGGGTACATAGACTACTTCAAAAGAAGAATTTAACATTTATTTTTGTAGAAAATAAGCAATTGTAAAATAGCCTGGGAGAAATAGGTAACTTTACCTTTAATGCTGACTCTTAATTTGTGGCTAGAAAAGGCAGTGATAGAACATAAGCTGCAATATTTATTAATAATATTGCTTTTCATCAATTAGTCCCTATTTTTTGTAATTAGGTAAAAACAGACAAGAAAGATGTTCTTGATTTTGGTGACTTGACTTACGGAGGCTGGAAAGCTCTCCCATTAAAACTGATAAATAGGACACATGCCACCGTGCCAATCAGACTGATTATTAATGCTGTAAGTACTAGCATACGGTAAGAAGCTGTTTACAGAGTACGTTGGTTTGGAATTATGGATACTGCTAATATCATTCTTAGTTCATTTTTCTTGTGAAAGTACATTTTTTTTGGTTAAGGATTCCATCAAATTTATCAAGTTTAACATAACACTGTTAGCTGTACTGAATCTGATTCTTCTGTTTCTGAACAGGATGCGATAGCCTGGCGCTGCTTCACGTTTTCCAAGGAACCCATCTGTGCTTCTGTGAAAGCTGCTCCTTGTGCTGATGTCACTCAGCTGGCAGCCACTTCTGTGGTCAATCACCTGATGCCTGCCAGTTACGATGGACAGGTAGGGTGGGTGGGTTGAAGAGTTGGCTTAGAATTAAAGGGGAAGTTAAGTTTCCAAAATGCTTTTCTTTCCTTAAGATTTCAATCTTAATATCAGTACACATTTAAAAATTTTTTTCTTTCTTATTTTATAGGATCCAGAATTTCTGATAATTTGGGTTCTTTTCCATAGTCCAAAGAAACGAATCAGTTTTTCAGGTATCATATTTAAATTTTGTGGGAATTGCTTCACTCTATAGCTAAATAAACTACAAATTTGAAGCTTATTTTCTCTGTCACTAAATGTGAGTACTTTGAGTAATTTTTCCTATATTTTATGTTTTGGAAATGGGACAGATGTTATGCTGTTTTGGGTCAAATCCATGAAAGTGGGTAACCCAAGCAAGTACTGTTAAAAACCTTTTGGGATATTTTCTTTTAATTGATCTTATCACATCTACCAGTTGGATGTTTTCTTTCTTTTTCTACCTTTTTCTCCACTCATTTCTGTTCCTCTTTTAATTCTTTTAAAAATCTTCTTTCCTAAATTTTGTTACAACCCCTATGAGCATTGTGTTGGACTGCTGATGACATTTAGAATTAAATATCTGGTTTCTGAACTAAAGGAATGAACTTTTGTAGCGATTCTAGACTCAGCAGAGGAATTCTTGGCAAGAGTTGATATAGAAGTTGACAGCCCAAACCCTACACCAGTTCTTAGAAGCGTTGGTCTCCGGGCAAGAGCAGGAGTAGCTAGGATACATGCTCCGAGGGACTTACAGGTACCGTCACTGCTCCTCTTTGCCTGTTTTCTTTCATGTTCAGGTTGATTTCACTTTAATTGTGACAGTTTTTTAAACATACCTGTTTTGCCCCATCCTCTAGACTATGCATTTGTTGGCCAGTGTGGATTCCTTAACAAAGCAACACTTACCTTTGAAAAATGCTGGGAATATTGCAGTTTATTTAGACATCAAGGTAGGAGCTCCTGTCCAAATGCTGTAAACTAGTCTTTCCTCACCTGCTGGGGGTTGCTGTGCTGCCTGCCCTGTCAGTGCCGTGAGGATTTAAAACTAGGTGTTAACACTAGTGTGAAATTTTTAACTCTGAAGCCTAAAGTTTTGAATATAGGAATGACATTGTAGATTGGTTCCTGAAAGCTTTGCATATCATCCTGTGGCTAGGTGGAGTTGGGGAAGAGTGAGCCACATGCATAAGGCATTATTTCTAGACTCACAGGTGAGGGAGAGGGTGTTAGTAACCGGGAAGTGGAGATGGGGGTGGGAGAAAGGGATTGGTATGGAGGAAGGAGGAGGAAGAAATATCCTTTCCAGGAGATAAGACAAGTTGGGACAGTGATGGACAAGGAGGGACAAATAACCCATCATAGTAAATGACAAAGGCACATAGTTAAAAGGAGTGCCTGGGAGAGAGCCACATCTGTATAAGTCAGCCTTTAGTTACGACTGTATCACTGTTTAGGTCCCAGAACAAGGAAGTCACTTTTCAGTGGATCCAGAGACTCTATTCCTTAAACCTGGAGAAGAACGTGAAGTTATAGTTTCATTTATTCCAAAGGATCTCAAAGTCTGTGAGGAAAGGTACTATTAAAATATTTGTAATGACTAGTTTTTACTCATCTCTCAAAACAGCCACTCTCTTAGATCACAGCCTGAATGGTAAACTACATATTTTACTATACCTTGGAAATAATATAGCTCTGCTTAATCAACCACTTTCATTTAGCCTCAGAGTTTCTTCTTGTTACTAAAAATCTCTTTTTAAACCAACTGGATAGAAATGATGAAATCACTATTTTCAAATATATTCTGACAAAAGTAAAGAATAAAACATCAATTTTGATGTTTCTCATTAGCTTTTTATTTTTCTCCCATGAAACCATTAGTTGTCCTTGTCAGTTAATTCAAGATACTTTCCTCCACCCCTTCTCCGGGCCTGTGAGTTTCTGGCTCTCAAGTTTGCATAAACCCAGCTTAATGCACACTGTCCTCTGAAACACACAGGGCTTGTCCACCAGCTTGGGTTACAGAATACTTCCATGGGCTCAGTCTGCTATTATGACCCTACAGAAGAAGGGAAGAGTCTGGCCTGCACTTGTGCCTGGAACGCTTGCCCTCAACTTCCCTGGGTTGACTCCTTCTTCTGGGAAGTTTTCCTTGACTCTTCCCAAATTCCTCATAAATAGTATTCCTGTAGCACCATGACGTCTCATGTAGGTGGTGTTATGATCGTCTCTTTCCTTGTCTGTAGTCTTCTCTGGAACATAAGCTCTAAGGATGGGAATGTCATTGTATCCTCAGCACCTAGCTCAGTCTCTTGGACAAAGGAAGCTTATAGAAAATAGTTGTCAAAAGAATGAATACAGGACATTCAACTTAGATTTTCTTCCTTTGTTAGGATCTTGAAAATATTTGTGCAGCCATTTGGACCTCAGTATGAAGTAGTATTAAAAGGCGAAGTAATAGTTTCTCCAGGAAATAAACCTCTGCCACCTGGATCTTGCTGCTCAGATATTCCATCAATTTTGTCCAACAAGCAGTTTCTGGCTTGGGGAGGTGTCCCTCTTGGAAGAACACAGTAAGTGTACACTTGGTGCTTGGTGTGCTGAGGGTCTGCTTTCGTTGCCTAATGTTATTCTCTGCTGTGTTAATTATGACCGCCTCACTGTTTTCAGAATTGATGTAAAGCTATCTTAAATTCACTTAATCTTCCTGTTATGAATCTTAATTTCTTAATTAGAGATTTCCCCTCTTTTTAAAATGCAACCCAGGGCCGGCCCGGTGGCGCACTGTGCTAGTGCGCCGCTTGGGAAGCACGGAGGCGCTCCCGCCGAGGGTTTGGATCCCACATACAGACCGGTTCCCGCTCACTGGCTGAGCGAGGCGCGGGGGCAACACCGAGGGTTGCAATCCCGTTGCCGGTCCCGGTCCGGTACGGGGGCGACACTGAAGGTTGCGATCCGTTGCCGGACACGGAAAAAGACAAAAAAATAAAATAAAATAAAATAAAATAAAATGCAACCCAAAGAATTTTTAATTTTCTTTGACTCTCGTGAATTTTCTGCCGGTTACCAAATTTAGGCAATGATCTTTAGGCAAAGAAGAAACGTGTGTTTCTTCTGAGGAAAGCACTATGGAAAGGAAGAAGAAATAATCAGACATTGTATTCTGTTTTAAGGAGTTTATAGTCTTCTAGTTGGTGAATACTTACTATAATATTTAAGAGTGCAAGAGGTCTCTAATGGTGCAGATATATTCTGTCATAATTTAATGTGAGTTTTATCTCTAATTTTATTTTTATTTACTTTGATTATAAATTCTGAATAACTCTGGGTTAATAAAATTAGTTGGCATATAATATATAGTATAGAAATAGATTTTTCCTTCATAAGCTTAGCAGCATAGTTAACTTTTTTTTACAGACCTAAAATTAGTAAACTCTTCTAATTAACAATGTAAGTAACTATTAAACCTAAATGTTTACTTGTTTATATTTTGCACTTTTGTGTTTGTTCTGAATTTTTACCCCCACATTTCTGTGGTACCTGGGAGATAAGGGTCTTCTGGATGAATATCTACTACAGATGTGAAGAAACTACTTCTTTAAAGTTACAAAACTCCTGACTTTACACATTTCCTCCTTCTTTTTTTTTTTTTTTTCCTTTTTGTCTTTTTTCGTGACCCGTAACGGGATCGCAACCCATGGTGTCGCACCCGTACCGCGACCGGCAACAGGATCACAACCCTCCGTGTCGCACCTGCACCGCGCTCACCCAGTGAGCAGACCAGTCTCTATATGGGATCCGAACCCTCAGCAGGAACGCCGCCGCGCTCCCAAGCGCCGCACTCTACCGAGTGCGCCACCAGGCGGCCCTCCTCCATCTTCTTAACCATCCATGCAGTCATCTGTGCCTTGTCTTGTTCTAAAAGCAGCTTTGAAAAAGACACTGTAGGGTGAAGTGATAAATGGCTTCTGTGGGAAAATGAAATGCAGTGGAGCATAAAGGCAGCACCCTGAAGGCTGCTTTGAGACCCTGTACGCTTAGCCCTGACCCTCCTACCCACTGCTGTACAGAGAGTCACGTCATCAGTTAAATGAACCACACTGTTCAGATGCTAAAAATAAACTAATTCTTGCTTGAGAGAAGTACAACTAACTGTTCCTGCCACAGGCTTTTGAGAGATGTTTCTGCCAGGGGTCCTTTCAAAGATAAATGTGTGTAATGCAGTGAATCTCAAACACAACTTTACAGTAAATAGTGCATCCCATTTCCTAGGATGTCCCTCTCCCTGCTTAGGTGCTGTTCTGCAGTTTGCTTTAGAAGTGTGACACCAGAGCGTGGTGCATCACAGGCACTACTCTGGGTCTTGCTAAAACCATGTGGTTGTTTGAGATAATTTAAGTCACTTAGAAGAATGAATGGAACATATGTTCTTTAAGCAGCTCCCTGCAAATATTTCCCTCAGCTAGGCTTTTGAAAAATGCCAAGTGGAGGTGAGTTTGAGGAAATACCTCTCTTCAGTAGCTCCTGTATTGTGTCATGTTCTTTTGCAGCCAGTTAAAATAAAATTGGGGGGATTGAAATATGTTGACGGGCAAGGCAGAGTAAGGACACATGACCATCTAGAAGGCTTTTCCAGTTCTATACGATTGAGCCTGAAGAGTGTCTGACAAAATTTTCCTTAAAACATTAATTTGTGTTCTGCTCCAATATATGTACAAATTGTTGATTGAGGCCCTTAAACTCTTTGCTATGGAAGGTGGCCAAAGTCATTTAACTGTTCTGCTCACCCACCAATGTGTTAGTTAAAAAGCAAAGGGACATTGCCTTACAGGATGCCCTAGCAATCATAGTTATTATTAATGTGCTATCAAATTATTAAAGTGCAGACTCTGAAAAGCTTCAATTACCGAGTGTCCCTTTTGGTACACAGCTTATCCTATAACTGATCTTGTCCATTAAGTCACAGGCAGAAGAAAATTGAGTAAGAGCCACAATTATCCTTGTGTTGATCTTGATAAAATTCGTAACATGATTAATATGGTGGAGATGGCTGTTCTTAAAATCCATCCACTCCTCAGATGCCGTACCATCCTGAAATCTCACTTATAGTTTATTTAAAACAAAATTAACACTTGGCAAACTTTTTTTTAAATTGAAAGTTAATGTTTGTTAAATTGAACACAGGGGAACTGTCTTATGTATGCTTTTGGACTTGTCAGCAGCATTTTTTTTTTTACCTAGCCCCTTTCTGAGTGAGGGGCATTCTGGCTGCTCACACTTCATGACTTCATTTCCTCCTGCAGAGTTCCTATAATTCCTTCTACTCCAGCAAATGCATGAGTAAGCCCCATGCAGGTGCAGGGAATTGGCCTGAAAAGCCTGTAGTGCTCCTTGTCCATAAGAGTGGCTTGGGTGAGATGTAGGAGCTGCCAGTCCTGCGAGAACTGGTCTGCCTCTGGCAGTTGCTGGCGCTTCTCATGCAGAGAAGGTCCTGTTGCAGAAGAGAGATTTGAAGTGAGCAGAGGATGAGTACAGGGAACAAATTAATAAATAAGTAATTTGCAGGGCATGTTATCAAGTTAATGGGTTTTGCCTCAGCTGCAGATAGGAATGATAATTAACAAATTACCATTGTGTTTTCCAAGTATAAAATGGTCCAAAGTGGAATTTCATTTCAACTCAAAAATTTTGGATTTCTAGTTAAACTTCTATATTTTTTCATATAACTATTTGTTCATTCATTGTAGTTTCTTCCTCAAAAGTCTGATTATATGCTTTGGCTATTTGCTGGTTAGAATTTTAGTATTTTTTTCTTATTAATTTGTGTGGACTCTTTACACAGTAAAGATGTTTACCCTTTTTATTTTGTATATGTTTTGTATATTCTTTTTAAAACTAGAAAAAAAGCTTCTCCCCCTGCCTTGATAACTGTACGTCTTGAAATGATAACCTCATCTCTTTCACAATTAAGAAATACAAATAAATAAAAATGAAAACTTTATACAGTGATGTTTCTTTCAGGAGGTTTTCCCCATTCAGTGTACATGTGGAAGGCTTTTCCCAGGGGTGCCGATAGTCTATGGGCTTGGCCTTATACAAGGTGGACAAGGCGTAGACCACAGCTTAAATAATTTATTAACTGCTGATCTTCAAAATTTCAGTAAAGTACAGGTTTTTAAATAATTTATTAACTGCTGATCTTCAAAATTCCAGTAAAATACAGGTTTATGCACATATTCTCTATTCTCCAATGAAGAGAGGATTCATATAGTTTTAAATATTGAAGGGCTTTCTTACTGTCAGCCAACTGCTGTTCATATGTTCCTTCTACTTGCAGTGTAATTTTTAAAAAATAGGGTTAATTCAATATATTATTTAAAAGGCTACTTTTCTCATGAGCCTCTTAGCCTAGGACTGCTTAGTACCCTGAAAGTTAGGTATTCCTAGTAGGTGTGGTATTGACTTAATGATTTAATGAATTTCTTAACATGGATTTTTATTGACTGATGTTTTATAAGACAGATAATAACTATACATAGACTATAAACAATAAGATCAGCCGAGGAGCTATAATACCAAGAAGGTTCTCTGAAAAGGTGAGTCTTGAGACTATGTTTTCAGAACTGTAGCGTTCTAGGACCATGGAGAGACAATTCTAGTTTGCTAAGGTACCATGCGCAATCAGTCTATTTCTAGACATTGTGGTTGGTTTTAATTGGCTTCATTTTTATAATTGTAGCAATATCCAT